TGGGATTCGAACCCATGACCATAAAATCGAAAAAAGGTTGGGACGATTCCCCCGAGACATTCTGTGAAGCTGAGGCGGCGAATCGATTTACATTCCGGTTAGAGATTTCGGCTCTTCCATGCTATCCCGATAATTGGTCCTAACTTCGCGCTAACTAAAAAGCCAGTGAGGGAGAAGCTATCCGGCCCCTAGACACTGATGGATAACCCCTTGCACTAACTAGGCAACTATCGAAAGTAGAATGTCAAATTGGTGTAGTCTATTTGGTGAAAGTGTCAAGTGCTCTATTATTATGCAAATGAGAGTGATCCAGTGGCGCACCGCGTTAAGGCGCCTCTTGCAAATCCAATGTAGGTTTGACGGTAGCGGGATCGATTCCCTGGAGGAGACGTTTAATGATTTTGTTTTTTCCTTTTTATTTTATTTGTTTATCTTTTTTTATTTATTTATTTATTTTTGCATAATTGTTGTCATCTCTTGTGTTTCACATTCCCGAGAACCATCTTTTTTTTACGAAGTGGATATATGATCGGCTCCCGCTCAAAGTCTTCGACGTACTAACATACTATGAGTGCAAGTTTTGTTTTGGCAAAAAAAATCTTTTATATCTTTATTAGCAATCTAAAAAAAAAGGTGTCAATTCATATTATAACGTTCTATTTCGAGCAGCTTTAGCTTCTTGTCGCACTTAGCGTGACGAAGGCTCCCGCTCAATTAAGGTCGTCGATGCACTAAATGAGCGGGAGTTTTAAAATGTACAAAACAAATCCCAAAAATACTATCTAAGAATTAAAAAATCTTTTATAACTTTATTAGCAATCTAAAAAAAGATGTCGATTCATTATTGTAACGTTCTATTTCGAGCAGCTTTAGTTTCTTGCCACACTTAGCGTGACGCAAGCTCCCGCTCAATTAAGATCTTCGATGCACTAAAGAGCTACTCTGCGAATAGAGCATTTACAAAAAAAATTACAAAAAAAAAATTTACAAGCGCGCGCCTGCATCGGAGTTGACTGTCCTTCTGAGGTACAAAACTGAATCACGGCTCACGCTATAAAAAAATATTCACGCCTCACGGCTAATTTTTTCGCATTTTCACGACTAATTTTTCAGCCGTTTCACGGCTCACGGTTAACCCCATTGAGACCCTCTTTATGAGCTATCTCCATGAAACTTTGGAATCCTGCTGTCTACGGTAAATATATAAAAACAWATATAATATAAATAAATATTTAAAGGCAAATACAGCACTTAAGTTTCTTTTTAACGTAATTTGCAAGTTTCTGATTCATGTAGCACAACGCGTTCTACCATTTCTAATTCATGCATTTCCTTGTGCGACGCGGTCCAAATATTCATCAGTAGTTATATTACTTTTTCCGAATTTATTTATTTAAAAATTTCTACTTCTTTTCTCCTTTCAAAGATAAGATATTTGTTACAAATTGAATTTTATTGACTTGTCAGGGACAAAAGAATTTCATCATTGTTTCAGAATTTGAGCAAATTAATTAATTCGGCGTTCTGCCTGAGGCCTATCCGTCAGAATAATGCTGGTCATATGTATTTTCATGTGTATCAGTTGGGCATGAGTTTTTTAAACCTGATGCTATTGATCACTGTGATCTACATACTCGTTTAATTTTCTCTTGAAATCAGATATGTGCACAATGCAGTGTTGATTGGTTTTGAGATGTGTAAGATCCTTGACACATTAACAAGTCCACACTAGAKTCGACCATATTTTATTTGATACTATAGGCTATATTGTCAATAAATGGAAACAATGGAAAGTTATATTGCTTAGGAAAATTAATTTCCGACCCAGTCGCTGGGATTCGATTCCTTCTAAAACACTATAACGTTTCATTATTTCCGTTTCATGTAATATCTCATAGTTCAATGTTTTTATTAACAGCGCGTTTATGATAATATAATTCTTCCGGATTATTTGTAATTCTAGCAGAGTTCCCAAAGGTCTGAATAATATATATGAAGTAATAACGGAAAACAAGATGACTGAGCTTTAATTATGGTAATCTGACGCTTTGGTGGTTTGTTTTACTAGAGGAGACTAGAAATAGTCAGCTCTRTTAATGATGAGAAAGAATACATCAAAATATACAAAACCATATAGAATCGCATGCTAGTTTACAGTTCTTGTGGTGGAATTTCATTTTTTTTCGAGTAATGACGAAATATTATTGGTCAGTACAATTCTCCAACAGATTATAGCTATACTCTACTTGRCCTTTTCGTTTGATGGAGGGACATTTCTCCCTCCAAACAAATCTGTTCCATAAGAAGGGCATTGTTATTGCATGGGCAGGTAAACGGCACTAATTAATTGTGTAGACTCTGGGTGCTAACGGGGCATTTCTTAGATACGGTCACTTCATCAATGGTCCGCGAAAACTTGAAAATCTCCTATAACTTCAAAATTTCAGTCATTTCATGCTATATTATTTTTCATATAAAGTAAAAAATTGGAAACGTGATTGTTATTATATGGTATCATAGTGTAAAACAAGCTYTCCACTACTTAAAAGTAACACAGTGAAAAACATTTTAGTCATTAGAATTTGATTGGATATATTTGCCAATTTTTATGTTAAACAATTTTCCTATACCAGTCTTCTACATTTCAATGTGATCTTTCTCATTTTGAAGTACGGTGATTAATAGTATTAGACAAAGGAATGAGTCTTCATGTGTTCGTAAGAGCACTAATGTAATGTTAGTATAAAATCAAATCTGACTTTTTAGTATTTAAAATTTTTGAATGAAGTATTCGCTTTACCTATCAGTTTATCCAGTCCTGGCCTCCTTTCGTTCCGCTCCAGGACTCACGCGCTGGGAAAGAGTCCGGCATAACTTGCATGTGCATGTGCAAAACAAGCCAATCAGATTAATAGTCACACACGCAGCGACCGCTCTAAATTCCCTACCGACGGAATTCGCAATATTTCTTTGTTCACTTTATTCTTTTTTGTTTGATTCATTAGTCAGCTTTTGTCTGTATTAAGCTCCATCTGCCACGAAAAATTTCCGCTTGTATGTTCGCGAAGAAATGCCAACGATAACTTGCAACGAGTGGTCAACGATAGATATTGTTGACCAAACCGGCTCTAAACTTATATCTGACAGCAATACGATTCAAACCTTTGAAATGACGAGGAAAAATAATGAGATTGTTCTCCAGGTGCCAGGGACAATAATAATCACAGATGAAAATGACATYCCATCAGTCTTTCTAGCTGTAAATTGTACAGAGAATTGTAACCTCGYGCGATCGTCACATTTATGTGGAGATCGCAAGGTCACAAAGCTGACATGCGCATGCAAGTTATACTGGACTCTCTTTTCCAGCGAGTCTTGGAGCGGATCAAAAGGAGACCAGGACAGGACCTATTACTTCAGACCACTTGAGCGATGACGTCATAACTACCAGAATCCTTTGTTCACTTTTTGTTGGTACTGGGATTCCATTTCGGATCTGACTAATCTCCAAAAGGAAACGAAAAATTTCGAATCATTGAATTAGAAARCATTAGAAAGGCATGATAGTTTACGCCTGTACACGTGGTCTCATATTATATGCCTTACTAAAGAATCTAATCGATTCAATCTTATACAGCGCTTTCTAATGATATCAAATTCCCTGTACAAGAATCGTTTTGATTGGCTGATATGTTACTATAGTTTGTGGTCCAGCTTTGTCTTTCCGTAGAAGATCTTTGATTATTGTTTTTCTCGGARAAGCATTCCGTTCCTTCTGAATATAGACTTGGGGCGAATGACGAACATCGATGCGAGCGAAACCCGTTCCTACCCAAACCTCGTCGACGTACTATCCTCTCTAAGGCGTGTCTAAAGTCAGGCTTCATAAATGAATATAGAATAGGATTAACTAACGATCCAAGAGCGATCGTGAACGGTGAAATATCGGATATTACTTTAGGTACAAATTCTGGTTTATTGAAGACAAATGCCCCACTGTAAATAAATATTGGAAACCAGCTTAGTATCAGCATCAAAGCTGCGATAGCAAACACTTTTGCTACTTTTGCCTCAGTAGAAACCTTTTTGCATCTTCGACGCGATTCTTTGAGCTCTTTACGTGGAGTTTCCGTAGAGATACTAAGCTCACGTTCCTTTTGAACGCAACGTCTGACTGAAAGAAAGATCCTCAGATTTGCATACATGATTATCGTTAGTGGAAGAACAGCGCAGAAGAAGAATGTAAAGAATATATACACTTTATTAGCAGTGGTTTTTATGTTTCCTTCCCAAGCAAGTGCCGGAAGAACTGCAGTCACCACGGARAATCCCCATATTAAAGGCAGAGAAACTCTGAAGAACTTTGGAATGATAGTCCTATAGGAGAATGGCTTTACAACAGCCAGATATCTATCGAAAGTTACTGCACAAATATTCCATACTCCACAAAATAGTACAAGAGCGTACAGGATGTTAATAGCGACCCGTGATTGATGCTGTARTTCAGCATTGTAGTGAATTATTAATGTAATTCCTGTCAATATGTCTGAAATAGCCAGCGAGACAACAAAACCATTGGTATAGGATCTCATACCCTTGATCTTTAAGACTAGGATGCACACGGCAATATTCGTCGAGACTACTAAGAACGATATAATACTCAACGGTATCACAATTTGTGGAGTGAAGTCATTCATATGGACGACGCTATTTGGAGATCTGTGGAAAGACAAAATGAATCGATATGAACTCCTTCAATGAACTGCTTTTCACACATTGTAATGACATACAATCAGAAAAGATAAGGAAGTGAGGAGGCATATTATTACATCAATTCTTTGATGCAGTATTTTTTAGCGAGCTTAAATTGCTTGAATGACTCACTCAACTAAAATACTATGAAAAAAAGTGGGGAATTTTCCAAGTAAATTGATTTTAATGGATATACGTGGAGTTTTTCCGATAAAGCAGTATTTACAATAATTTGAACTCTGGTATCACCAAAGCTTACCTTAACACATGACCAAAACAAAACAAAACAAAACAAATTGTTAAATAAATTATACATCTCAAACATTATGGATAATATCACTTAAAAAACGATCTCACAGTTTCCTTAGGATATACTTCAGTCTACAAGTACACGAACCTTATTGGTAAAGTTCATTATCATATTAAAAACAATATTTTGAAGTGAAAAGAATCAGAGAAGATTGACTAGTTTTGGTAATTCAGTAGAATAACGCCTTCATTAACAATGATAGTTTGATAGAGGCTATCGTTTATGTGGACATAAGCTAAAACAAGTCAAACAATCCAGCGTCAAGATTTGACAATCTTGATTTGATTTCAAGTTCTTTATATACAAGAAATGAGAACAAAACAATTAAGAGATAAACCAAAAATAAAAAAAAACGGACAACTTTAGTAATAACATCTATACCATGCTATGTGGATTGACTGAATTAAAATAAAGTCTATACTGATGTCCTGAAACGCATTCATACCACAAAATGACAAAATACTCACATAAAATTCAAAACCGCAAAATCAAATGATTGAAACAAAAACAACCCGTCTTACCGCACTACTGGTTGCAATAACCAACTTATGTTATCCCTGTATCGATACTGTATACAGTGAATTATAACCAACTTATATTATCCCTGTATCGATACTGTATACAGTGAATTAAACATTCTGTCTCAAAACTAAAACTTGCCGCAAAAAGATACTGGAATTGAAACTTAAATTTGTGAAATTGAGAGGGAAAACAAAGATCTCTTTCTCGGCGACTAAAACAAAATAAAAGCATAATAAGAAAGGCCATTCAAATCTCATTTAGCTAACATTAGCGATTTGAAAATTCTCTGAAAGGAAAATATTGGACGAAGAAAAAGAATATTGAAATTAAAAGATGGTTGTGTAACTCTAGTATAACTATTAGGTTTTGAAGGAATGAAAAAAAGAAAAAAGAAAAGAAGAACAAAAATCCACTCGCAATTCGATTTTCAGTTGAATTAGTAGATTTACATCTATTAGTAGGCAGGAAAAGCTTTGTCGTAATTCGATTTTGGCTGCCTAAAGCTTATYTATTCTATGTGAATTGACAAACTATGATAAAGTACAAGGTGGTACAAGTTCTCACCGGCTTACGAAGACATCTTCACTACCAGTCCAAGTAGTGTTCAAGGGGCTTTAGAGCTAGCTTATATACGCAATTTCAGAAGTAGTCTTAGTAATTAGGTCAAATTAAATCTCCTTTCCTTACGAACTTATGTAAACCTTTATCCTATGTGAGCTAATCAAAGCAATAACCGGTGAAACCACATTCATCGCTGGATGGATATCAAAACACACTTACTCTGGACATGGATAAGTCTTGATGGACGAGAATACTGCTCTGTACAAAGACTCTTGTCCTCAATTAGATTTGGTTATGGTTATATTATCAGTCCGAGTGACACCAGATGGCAATACCACAGGATAATCAATCAAATGTGATGGCTCTTAATAGCAAAAAAACCGTTTAAATTGTTGACAAATGCTTCCTACAGGGAAATAACCAAACCTGACGTTCAGCGGCATGTCATTTCGTATTTCGATCGGTTGAATACGTGCTTCGGTGCATCGGCCTCATGTAATATTAAAGGCCAACAGATGTACATAATGGTCGCTATTAAATCACTCTACTGGGGGCAACATCTTCTAGTATCCCGCAAAACGAAGTATTCCACTTAAAAGACCCGGCAATTCTCGATTATTACGTCCGACGGTATTGYCGAAGTTTTCAATCAATAATTCAAAGATGAAGTGATATTGTGGTCTGATRTAACGGTAAAGACAAAGAGACTTTCAAAAAAACTGATCCAAAATTGATTACGGAAAGATGAAACCTTTATTTAGGCATGCATGTTCAACTGCATTAAAAGAGTCCTTGGGGYACAATTAAACAAAACTCTACTCATTAAACAAATCATTTTAACGATCTTCAAAGCTCAAAGATAAGTCGTTGTGAAAGCAAACGAAGGAAAGATATTGAATATTGTTCGAAACCTCGTGTCCTCCTGATTGGCTGGTTTAGGTTGTCATCGTGATCGTAGCAATCAAAACGACCGATAACATTTAAGCAAACTTGGTACTGTAATAGTGAGAATTGACTTACACGCCTCGMTAAATTACATATGCAGATCAATGCTTGATATGAGATTACAATACTGTATTTGGTAGAAAACACTATTGATCCGGAAAAAACTACTAGAGTAGAGAACATTGCATGCATAAATGTATATTCACTGTTTTAGTTAGTAGCTTAGTCTAATTCTAATTCGTACAATGAATATATTTTTTTCAGTTTTGATATTTTGACAAAAATCATTTTTAATATCATCAAACTTAATAGCKGGGTCTGTATAGAGTCTATTTAATAAACATAATCACTTATTGAAGGCAAATATGAACTCTAGTAACAATKAKMACWWWTAKRAMWTAWAKG